CAAAAATAAACAACTACTTACTACCACTTGTACTAATATCCTGTTGGTGTAACCTTCACACCTCACCGAGTCGTTGATCGAGGAGGCACACTTCAGGAGACTTCACCTTAAAGTTAACACATTTATTTTCACACCATTAATAAAGTACATGTACAGTATTCAAAGCTGAATGCATTCAGGAGACAATCATCAGGAGTACGTCTCCTTGATTCTTGCGAGCTGAAAACCCAAGTCTGAGGACTGAGAGCTTGTGCAGTCGATTATAAAGTCTCCCTAGTCCCACCTTTTTCCGGGGTGTATCCCTTTTTGATTGCTTCAAAATTTAACAGTGATGGGAGGGGGTCTTTCGGTATTGGCTGAACTAGTTGCTGGGTATCTGCCCTCTCCCGCTTAGTTTCAGACCCTCCAATACTCCCATTTTGGTTTGGACTGGTTTAATTGATGCTGGTTTAATGATCCAAGATGGCGCCTTTGTTGATGGCACGCAGTCTAGTCTACCTCTCCTGAATTTGTTAAAGTTACTCATGTTTTGCCTTCTCTTCATCCATGATGTAATTTGCACTGATTTATTGTGTCCTGTTTTTAATCTTGTTTTGTCTTGTGAAGCACCTTGGTCAATGCAAGGCGTTGTTGGAAGGTGCTATAGAAATAAAGTTTATTATTATTATTAATTAATTTTGAGCGGTTCTGGGTAAGATATTGACCAAGTTCAAAATCATGAGGGCCTGTTGTTCTCCCTTATCTAGGTATGTAAGCAAAAAGTGTTGATCAAGCATAAACCACAGTGAGTGCAAATTCCTCTCTTATCTGAGCAAAGCCAAGCGTAGTGTTTTTATAAATTTTCTTTCAGCATGTACGCAAAAGTCAAGCTGACCTTATTTTTATTTATTTTCCTTCACTACTTTTAAAACTTGTGTGAAAATCTGATTATGTTTTAGGTTGTATTTATGCAGAAATATAGAAAACAAAGTATTCATAAAACTTTCAAGCACCACCATTTTTGCTTGTTGGACCTTCATATAACTATTTACAATCCCTACTTCTGTAGGATTCTCTGCCTTCCCCTTTAAACAATCTCTCTGAGCAGCTAATCGGCTGGTTAAATACACCTGCACCTGCTGCCAAGACCTGCCCTCCTGCTCTACTTAAGCCTCAACCAGACGTTCAGCCGACGCTCGAACATGCATAGCCTTGGTTCCCGTCCGCCCTGCCTGTCCAACCTCCTCCTGGCTGCGTCTGGTTGCCAGTCCTGCTCACCAAACCCATATCAGAGAAACTACACTCCGGATCCTTCAACCATACTACACCATCGACCTATACCACGCTATA